TCCAAGACCAAGGACCATAATAAAAAAGACTCCTTTTTCCAGCCTCAGTCCGCACAGCAGGAACCTGGAACCGTATCCAGGCACTGGATCTGAGGTTGTAAGAGTCACAAACTGGGGCAGATCTGGCACATATGCACAGTGGAAGCTTTCCTAAAATGGCTTTATTCATGAATAAAAACCAATCCAGTTAGGCTATACAGTTTGCAATGATGAGTCCTATAGGGTGCATTTGATATATAACGCAGTGCAGCATGGTAGAGTGGGTCAAGTTTGGCCAGAACAGTGGGACAGGCAAATCTATAAATGGTGTCACCGTAGTCCAGCTGGGACAGGAATAATCCAGAGACCAACCTTTTACGGGAAGAAGTTGAAAAACAACATTTAAGTCTGTAAAGGAATTTCAATTTCTTTGTTAGAACTTCAATGTGATCAATGTTCAGTACTATGTAATGACAATACAAGTGCAAAAATATGTTGACATACATATAGGTACAATTCCCAGCGGCAGTTCATAAAGTAGAATTAGCTCATCCTTTAGCAGCTGTGATGAACACATTATTGCTTCGATAATCATAATGTAGAAGTTTTTTATTTATATTATTCTAAAATGGGCCATAAGGAATGACAAGTATTATTACTTTTGGTACTAGTATATACAGTGTGTTTGATATTGTTTTAATCTGCCAATAGTTTTTTACTTCACTTGAGGTAAGATCTTAAATGCTGGACTTCTATATAATAGTAGTATATTTTAATTTGACTATTGCTACGTAAAATATCTGGGTACTTATTCCACCACAGATTTGAATAAAGTATGCAGTTGCAGATTTATAGCAGACAGAACACAGTTGACAAAGAACCACCAACGGAGAATAAATGAAGTAATTTACTGTCTTTCCCTTTAGTGATTCAAATGTACATTTTGATACCATTGATTGATTGATACATTTTATTTTCGAACAAGTCAAATGAATATTTACAAAAAACAAAGAAATGTTGCAGTGCATAGTCATGTAAAGGAAACAAAACAAAGTGACATTTACAACAACAACAGCATTAGCAACATAAACAGTCCTACATCTAGTGTTCGACAAGGAGTGAGAAAAAGTATAATTTATTTAATCTCACCCCCTTGTCCCTAAATGATTTATTTATAATCTATAATCTATAAATAATTATCATTATTATTATTGTTATTAATCTGCTTTACTTGTTTATTGATATATATACATATACACATACACACACACATATATATATATATACTGACACATACACACACACATATATACACACCTTCCCCAATCCCTGTAGAAAAAGATTTCTCGCTTTAGCTCCACATTCACACTGTTCCATCGTCTCACTCCACAGGCTGAGATACCAAATGTTCTTCTGGTTGTACGGACTCTAGGAATTTCGAATTGAAATGGTCTCTTGGCTTGAACTATATCCCTCCACTCGTTGAGTGAATACTTTTTGGATGTTTCCTGGTAAAACGTTATTTTTTGCCTTAAACATGATTTGTGCCGTTTGGAATTCTACCAGGTCTGTGCATTTTAACAATTTTGACTGCAGGAATAATGCGTTAGATTTCAGTCAGACAACTCACGTGTTCTTAATATGTTTATTAGAAGGAGCATATAGTTGAGTTTGGCGTTTAGGCTCAGGCCTCATCACTCCACAGATTTACAAAGAACATTGAGTGATGATTAGATAACAACCCCCCGAGCCTACAGGTGGAAGCTGGGGTGGTGGTGGGGCCGGCAAGCAGCAGCATGTGAACGCATCAGCAATGTGACAGAGCCGCAGCATAGCGAGGCAGAGGCAGGCAGACCTGGCAGCTTCAATAGAGCGGCAAGTTAAGGAGAATGTGTTTGGTTGGTTGTAAGAGAGACGCGTCACGTGTTAATGTATCATTGGTGCTCGAGTTGACTGCCTGAACTAGCTCGCAGGCTTCGCCCCATATTTGGCATTTTGAATGATTCATATGGCTTTTTTTTGTAAAATATACTGAATGTATTGAACTTTTGTAGTTATTGCCCCAGATTTCAGCACAGTAAGTCAGATATGGTGAAACTAGTGAACCATTCGGCCACTTTAGCATTTAGAGTAGTGAACATGAAAAAAGCAAATGTATTTTCATCATCTGATCTTTGACATTGTGTACAGTGGAAGTTTGTGAGAAGAATTTAAAGAGGAAACACCTGATCCTAGGTCAGGTCAGGAGACAATCCTTATCTTAAAGAGAGTTCCTGCAGAAAAAAACAGCTACACAATCAAAAATACAAATGCCTGCCGATGATCTATCTTACTTATCTACTGATACAGAAATGGATAGCAAAGTGAACAGACACAGCTTAAGGCAATTAGGGTTAAAACGTACAGCCTTCAGAGAGCAACAATGTCATATTTCACTTTCAAATCCAGGTTCACTTCCCACTGAGCGTAAGACACAAAGCAAAACAAGAAGAACTCATTGGATACAAAAAGGGATGTAAACCCAGACCACACAAAACAAGACTTCAGACATAATACTCACATCCTCTAAGGCCCACTGCTCGAAATCCAAACTTTGTTTTGAGAGGAAATAAGGCAAGACGTTTCAATATTTAATCAGGAACGGTAATAGCAACTGCAGATATCAACAACTGCTTTTTAACTATAGTTTTAAAGTCTAAGCCAAAAATATCTGTCATGTAATTTTGCCTAGTAGCAATTCTATTTAAAGATATCTACATTTCCTTTCTTACAATTCAAACAAATTATTGATATTAAAAACTCAGACTAATGGAAATGTTCATTGTATATATCTGTAGTTTAATTACAAGCTCCTACTTTAACTTAATTACAGATATCTTTAATTGGGTTCAGTCCAAGTTGACATATCCGTTCACAATTGCTATGTTCCCTCTTTAAATAGCATGTGCAGCTCATTTTCCACGTGCTGATCCAAACCAGAATCACATGCTGTCTGTGACCGTCAGCACGGGATTGATATCTTCCTGTCCGTGTTGTTGCTCACTGTTTGAATTATAAACAGACAGAAGAGCTTACTTCAGCAGCTCCACGTGAGGATAAGTGAGCTTTTAGTCATCACACTGCCTGCCGGGTACAAATATAACAGATTTCGTCATCAGCGTGTTTTACTACGACTCATGAGAATCCTTGGTGAACACGCATTGGGACAAATCCTCAGTCAGCAGATACAGGAGGTACACATTAACAAAAGGGAAGTTAGTCGGTTTTGTAGCTGTGAGATACACTTTAACCTTGAGCGTAACTTTTGAACATAATGTGATTTGTTTTAAGAATGTTTCCCTTTCACTTTGAATTAAAGAAACTGGCCCTGTCAATTGGGTAAACCCACGTTAAGCGTTTTCAATAAGGCATGCATTAGTTGATTAAAGGAGACTTTGAAGGGTTTTTTACACGCTATAAAAGATTTTTTATGTGAGGTTGCCACAAACTTTATCTAGAGTAGGCTATCATGTGCCTTGTGTAGAAATGTATTGTGGTCATATTGGCTTAGTCAGGTTAGAAAGAATCTTCATTCAAAGGAATAATTCAACAATTTTTAGGAATGCATTCAATCATTTCCCTGAGTTAGAGTGGGACAGGGGTTTTCAAAGGGTGGGTAGGTGCGCCTCCAGTAAGAGAAAATGTAATTAAATGCTCTGTTTTCGCTGTCTACCTTCCGCCATTTGAAATTACTCCGACTGTTTCTCTCCTCTTGTCTCGTCTCTGTGTGTTTGAATCTATCGTGCTGACTGCACCGATTTGATTGGCTGAGTAGCCTCACCTCCTTAAAAATAGATTCAAACACACAGAGACGAGACAAGAGGAGAGAAACAGTCGGAGTNGAGTTTGGAACATTGCACAACATACATTTATTTTAGTACACCTCAACAATGGAATTATGATCAGTAGAAATGGCCAGGACATGGGACCTTTAACATCTTACATATAGTTTTTGAAACGATTACATTTTTCTGAATGTGAGAAATGGAAACTTTATTATATTACCTTTTATTATATAAGTCTATCACTCGCTCTTACTGACTGTCACAGGATACATTTGGTTGCCAAATGATTAACAAGATTCAGACTTTACCCTGTTTGCTTTTTGTAGGTATTGTCGTTCTGCCTCACTGCTCTCTCACAGACACTTGAAAATGACTCAACCATTGTTTGCACCTGTGGTTTTTCTAGTTTGACCAAATGTCCCAGATGACTGCAGTTAAGGGGGGAGACTGACGGTGAGAGTTAAAGTCAGGGGGAAATGGCTAGCCTTGGCTTTGTCCACATGTAATAGACACACACCTGGCATCACCTTTAAGCTCTTTGATTATCATATTGTTTTGTTTATAAGAAAAGTGTAAAAGTGATGTGTTACAACTGTATCTGTATGCTAAGCTAAGCTAATCATCGCCTGGCTGTAGGGTAACATTTAATGAACAGATCGATGTGAGGGTGGCATGAATATCCTACTCTAACTCAGGGAAATTATTGAATGCATTCCTAAAAATTGTTGAATTATTCCTTTGAATGAAGATTCTTTTTTTAACCTGACTAAGCCAATATGACCACAATACA